CCCCAAAACCCCAAAACCCCAAAACCCCAAAACCCCTTTTATGACTGTTCAAGTTGAATTGTTATTTATACTCTATTAAAACCCCTTCCATGTTCTATTCTTTAGTTTCTGATCTGCTTTCCTTCTGCCTAATCATACGAACAGAGGAAAGATTCTTAAAAACCTTTCTTACATACATAGTTGGTCTCAGAAAACGCTTAGCAGAAAGAGCCTAAAATTATGAATAAAATTTACCTTTACAGGCGCAGGTTTCGAATGAGGTCTTGAAGCAGCAAGTTTTCGACTGAGCTTATCGCAGTTACTGTACAGCTTGAAGGAACGACTGGGGATTTGAACTAGGTTTAGAGAGGGTTTGGGTCGATGAACGGTAGGAGTGGTGCAGTGAGGGATGACAAAGGGATTTTTGGGAAGGACAGTGCTATTTGAGGGAGAATGTAGGGAGAGAGATGTTGAAGGCTCTTGGGGTTAGTTTTGGTTTATTTGGGAGATGCTTTGGGTTGGATTTCAGAGGCTTATTTTGAGACTTTATTTTTTTCAAAATTTCTTCTCTGTTCTTGATGGATCCTATACTAGTTTCTTTTTGAATTTACTTAATCGGGAAATATGCTTTTTCGTGGTAGATTTTGTAACGCCATTATCTGATGTTTCATCAGGATCAGTATCTAAAATTTAACAGTTGTTGAATACTATCTCCTGCTGCTATGAGTTCTTTATATTTAGTTGTATTTGCATTAAGTATTCTTCCAATCCTGCTTTCTCTTTTAAAGTAGGTGCCCTATTAAAATTAATGTTGGTGAAACATCCATCGAGGTCATTAATTAATTTCCTAGAAATATTCTTACATCAAATAGCTTCAACTGCGTCTTATTTTTCTCTGCTGGTAATAATTAATTCCCTCTGTTTGTTTGTGGTTGGCCTCTAAGAATTTAAGAAAGCTCGTGCTAGATAGAGTCAGAGGGGAAGAATACCTTCCAGAAGATTTATGGGAAAATCCTTGTCTCTTATTTTTAAATTATCCTCGGCTTTTTTCTTTGCAGATTTCTTGGGAGATTTCTTGGGAGATCTTGTTCGAGAATCACTAGGTCTCCTTTGTGCAGCTTTGATTTGCCTCAAAAGGATCAGCATCAGGATTTTCGCCTGATGTATTTATTTTAAAGTGGGTTTATTTAATTTTTTCTATATTTAAGCTGGGACTACGTACCGATGTAATGCATAAGCAGAACCAGCATTTCCTCAGATAAAGGGTTCTCAAGTTCTATAAATGAGCATCTAGAATACCATCTTCATCCTCTGTGTCACCGAGAATTGTCGGTAGTATTTTCCCACCCTTGTCAGACTGGATATAATTTCTAAGGGTCGCATAAGCTGATTGGGACCTAAACTTTTTCAAAGGGATTCTCTTGGTTTCTTGTGTTTCTTTACTGTAGTAAGATGAGTACAGAGATATAGTTTCAGAGATGATCCTCTTAAGGTCAGTGACTTTGTTTGATTTCAACACTACAGAAAGTTTTTATTAAGATAAAAGCTTGAATTACTTGGTCCTGTTTTTCCAAATACGTTGTTTTGAAACATGCCAACACTTCTTGCTTTCCCTGTCATATCCAAGATATTAGGAGGAATTAGTTTATTTGAAGACATCGTTACTTCTGAATTGAGGATATTACTTGACTTGTAAGTTGTATATGTAGTAATTTTCGTCTTCATTTTCCTAATATCTTCAATTTCTTCAAAAGTCATTTTCTTCTAGATTTAAAGTAACAACTTTAACTTCCAACTATCAACAACTATTCAGTGATTTACCTGCGCATTTATCATTCTCTGGCTCAGTTTTGCTGCATCAATTCTTTGGCTTTTATGGTTGAGTTTATTCACAGGCTGCATATTTTTCAGTTGGAACATAGTAAGTTCTCTGTTAAGTTTTCAAAGCTGTATCGACTTGCTTTGAGTTGATCTCCTGAAATTTAGTATTAAGTTCAGGTTCCAGCACATAAAAGTTTGAATAATTTTAAGTTAGCTTACTCAAAAATACTGTCTTTCTTCCTTAGCGTTTTTCTAGAGGTAAGAATTTTGAGTTACTTCTTATCCATGAAGAAAATTATTCAATAATTTTGAGAGAAATTGGGGTTTTGGGGTTTTGGGGTTTTGGGG